TTACATGTGTAATTTCAAATAAAATGATGTATTTTTTATTTTATTTATTTATTTATTTATTTATTTTTGAGACGGAGTTTCGCTCTTGTTACCCAGGCTGGAGTGCAATGGCGCGATCTCGGCTCACCGCAACCTCCGCCTCCTGGGTTCAGGCAATTCTCCTGCCTCAGCCTCTTGAGTAGCTGGGATTACAGGCACGCGCCACCATGCCCAGCTAATTTTTTGTATTTTTAGTAGAGACGGGGTTTCACCATGTTGACCAGGGTGGTCTCGATCTCTTGACCTCGTGATCCACCCGCCTCGGCCTCCCACAGTGCTGGGATTACAGGCATGAGCCACCGCGCCCGGCCATAAAATGATTTATTAATATTATGCTCTATGTTTTGTTAAGTTACTTAAGACGACTACACATCCTCTTGCTTCTAATTAATTTACAGGAAGCTTTCAACTAATCTGTTTTCCTTTTTCAGTTTCCTTTTCATAAGTTTTCTTCTCTATTCTACTTAAAGTTTCACAAATAATTCAGATTTTTCATTAAAGATTCCCATACTTGCAAAAGTAGATTAATACAAACCATTGTACCTGACTACTAGAAATAGGGGAAGAAATGGTTTAAATTCATTAAAAAAAAAATTAAAATCATTCAATAAAGTCAATAACTTAGTATGAGTCATAAGCATACAAATTTGAAAAACAGTAAAGAAACCATTATAATTAGGATTAGTTTTAGCTGCTGTTGACCATTTAAGAAATCACTTCACTTCTTTCCCGAAGGCTTACATTGTCAAAATAAGGGATTTATCATTTTTAACATCCCTTCCATTTCTAAATGTCTGGATTCCCTAAAACATGTAATATAATTTCAATCCTCAATTCTGTGTCTGTCATATTATTATAAACACCTATGCACACCACAAGAAAAACTTACACGGGAAAAAAAATGCAAAAATTCAACACAACAGTGAACACATTTTCATTCACCAGCAATGGGAGAGTAAGTAATATATCCCTTCCTGAAAGTCAGTGTGACATTACCTACCAATAACTAGAATGAGGAAGCCCTTCAAATCCAATGCATCTCTAGGAGTCAAACCAAATGAAGGACTTGCACATTTATGTAAACACATATGTTTGAGGATATACACTGCAACACTGGATATATAATATGCAATTCATGGCCTGGGCGCGGTGGCTCAAGCCTGTAATCCCAGCACTTTGGGAGGCCGAGGCAGGGTGGATCACGAGGTCAAGAGATCGAGACCATCCTGGTCAACATGGTGAAACCCCGTCTCTACTAAAAATACAAAAATTAGCTGGGCATGGTGGCACGTGCCTGTAATCCCAGCTACTCAGGAGGCTGAGGCAGGAGAATTGCCTGAGCCCAGGAGGCAGGAGGTTGCGGTGAGCCGAGATCGTGCCATTGCACTCCAGCCTGGGTAACAAGAACGAAACACCGTCTCAAAAAAAAAAAAAAAAAAAAAAAAAAAAAAAATATGCAATTCATACTTAAAAACTCCAAACCCCAATTCTTAATTTCCACTCCAATTCTGTTCTGCCTAGTCTTCCACCTTCTAGTAAAAACGGCCCCAGCTGGTCAAGCAAAATACCAGAGTCCTTCATTCCTCCTTCGCAATAAATCCAACAGAGTCGTGTTTCTTTTTCCTCTAAAACACACTGAGAATCATGTCATCTTCTGGATCTCTACTGCTGCCATCCCAGTTCCAGCCACATTTATCTCTCAACTGGACTACAATACAAATTTCCAGAGTGATTGCTTCCCATTTACTCTTGTCTCTCAAACTCCTGTAAGATCATGCACTTCCCCGTGTAAAACTCTTACACAACTGTGCACTGCACTTCGAGCAAAATCTAAATGCCTCCCTGGTGCCTACCTGCCTCTCCAAAACAGCCTCCCCTGCTTTGATGATGCTGGCCAAAACCAACAATTTCTAAAACCTGCCAAGCCCTCCTCCGCTCCAAGGCCCTTAATCATATTTTTCTATAGCCTGAAAAGCATCTTTTAAGGTTAGCTGTTCTTTATTCAGATATTATCACTGTAGCCTTTCCTGGCCCACATATTAATCCTTTAACACAGTATTATTTCATACTATTTGCCCCTTTAGCCACTCACCTCAATTTTCACTTACCTTGTTCATTTGTTTATTAATTGCGTATTTCTTCTCACTAATACATAAAATCCACATGGCATGGAACTGTTTTACTGGTATTATCTCAACATATCAATCAATATATGTTGTATAAATGCCAGAATAACATAAAGGCAAGCTGAGTTTTTGCTTTCATTTGCCACACACAAGTTACTATTTAAATTATGAATCAATAAAAGTAAATCTAAGTAAAAATCTTAGATCAGTCAATTCTATCTAACCTATTTCAATAATCTACTAAAATAATGAAAAATGTCAATTAGCTCAACAAGAACTTGGTGAAACCTGCACAATACACACTAAAGTACTAAAAGTTTATAATCTGGCTTCAACAATCTTAGCTGCGTCTCTGGTCACATACAAACACCTTAATTTGTGGCAATTTTCCTTCAAGAAAATAAGCTATTTAGAATGGCCATAACTCCAAGTATAAATGGCAAGAGATGAAGCTGAGAAGATTGTGGAAGACAGATCAGGCTTTGTACTGGAAGAAGTATTTATGTTTCAGTTCAGAGAGTCATAGTATTTTGAGCAAGGTTTGTGTACTTGAGAACAAGAAAGGTAGTCTGAGCAACTGAAAGGTGAGTGAGGGCCTAGATACAGCACACAGATTACCACCTAAATGCTATAAAACAGTAACTGTCATAGAATCAGTATCATGTTTTCTTGTGTGGCAGATTAAAATTTAGGTATTCCCTTACTATTCAGATTTCAATAGTGTTATCCTAAAGCCTACACTGCAATATGTGGCTTGTTCCTAAAACTACTCCCAGTGAAATTACGTCAAGTTGCCTTGTGCAGACTTGTCCAATCTCAGATCACGTACTAGAATCTATGTAAGTGGTTTTGCTGCTGATAAGATATTCTTCTTATCTTATTCATTCCAGACTCTACCTGCATTTTAAAAATACTCTCCATTCATCCACTTACATATTCTACTTTTACTTCCAAAATGAAGTCTACTTACCAAGTGCACTTCTAAAACTATGCTACATAATATATATTTTATTATTGAGAATATTTTCCTGTTTGTTATCAGTTCTAGAATTGGAAAATTGATCTTGGGAAAGATTAATACTTTAATATTGTCTTAGTCCATTTTTGTTGCTAAAAAGGAACATCTGAGGCATTTATAAAAAATAAATTAATTAATTTGGCTCACAGTTCTACTGGCTGTACAAGAACGCAATGCCAGCACCTGCTTCTAGTGAGGGCGTCCAGCTGCTTCCACTCAGAGCTAGAATGCAGAGGGTAGCCAGCCAGAGATCACAGAGATCACATGGGGAGAGAGGAAGCAAGAGAGCTATAGGGGAGAGGCTGGAATCATTTTTTTGTTTGTAGAAAGTCTCACTATATTGCCCGGGCTGGTCTCAAACCCCTGAGCTCCAGGGATTCTTCTGCCTCAGCCTTCCAAAGTGCTGTGATCATAGGCATGAGCCCCCACACCTAGCTCCAGCTCTCTTTAACAAACAGTCTTCTTGGGAACAAACAGAGTGAGAATTCACTGACCCCCATTCCTAGGACATTAATGTATTCATGAGTGATCCAACCCCATGACCCAAATACCTCCCTCCAACACAAGGATCAATGTTTAGGGGGACAAACATCCACACTATAGCAAATATTAATTTTCAATATTAACTAACACACATATCTAACAATCTTAACTTTTTAAAAATAATACCTATAGCATAACAGGCTCCAATTCTCCTTTTATTTTCAGGGGTTAAGTAAGTGAATAAAGCGTCTGAATTGGTAACCATCTGAATTTATTCCTAATTATTTCAATATTTGCTATTAGAATTCCCAGGAAGGACACAAAAATATTAAGGTCTACTTTCATTAGTCCACTCTTCTGGCTATACGACATTTATTTTTTTATTAAAAATGTTATTTTGGAAAATAAATATATAATCAAATTTCCTTTTTGAGACTTTAATAATATATTTCTCCATCTAACTAGAGCAACCTATAGTGTAGGTTGCTCTGAAGTTCTGTGCTCCTTATCTAAGTCCAAAGGTAGAGCTGGTTTCATTTCTTAGGGTAAGTTCCACTTTTCTAAATGTCACCTCTCTTTATCTCAAATCAGGAATCAACATGTCCGGGGTGCAGAGCTGTAAACACATCAAATGAAAGTACAAGGACTCCACGTTTGGATCCCCTTCCACCAACACTCCCTTCGTGGAAGCCATCTTTCTCTCTCCTGGATTTTCCCTCTGGAGTCCCCTTCCTCCTAAACTCCATCTCTCTCTATTCCCTTCCACTCAGTGTGGAAGCTGCTTTCCTCTCCTGGATTCCAGCTTTCTGGATTATCTCACTTAGTGTGAGAGTTTAGCTGTTCCTTTCTCTCTCCTTTTCCTGTTTTCTCTCTCTCTCTCTCTTCTCTCTCTCTCTCTCTCTCTCTCTCTCTCTCTCTCTCCCCTCTCAATAAACCACTTACTACAAAACAAACAAACAAACAAACAAACAAACAAACAAACAAATAAATAAATAAATAAAAGTACAAAGCGAAAAACTAAAGATCTCAGAATTCCAATGAGGTCACAACCTGCAAAGGAAAACAAGCCATCTCTTTTTGAGGAGGACCGTGCATAACATGGGGAATAAGAATCAGAGGCTTAAAAACTTGGAGAACCTCTGAAACGATGAATAATGTACAGTCTCTCTAATCTCCTATCTCACAAGGTTCACACAATCAACAAAGCAGTGAGCAGTGAAAGAGATGTAAACCCTTACCATACTGTATAAGTGAATTGCAATATAAAGTTAATGACCTAGTTTTTTATCCACATCTTTAGATTAAAACAAACATAAACACAAACAGAAACTTACCTTCGAAAAGAGACCCCAGTTGATATTCTCCACTGAAAAATTGTGGTAATGAGAATACAAGTGCTCCCAGTCCTATCATAAAGGCTGCAAATGCAAGCCATCTCGGCTTGTGTCCTCTTTCACCGAAGAATGATACAAATAAAGACAACAAACAGAATGAAATATCGTAGCTTGATGAAATCAGGCCAGTCAGGGAACTCTTCATTTCATAACGCTTCTCAATAGTGGAAATGCTAATATTTACTAGGCCATTAACTACCATGCCTAAAAAAGAGAAAAATGTATGCACATCATTAAAATTTTACCATATGATTTAAGATTATTAACACAAGGGAGTACAGTTTGGTTATTCGCTTCTTTTGGTTTTTTAAAATATACCAGTACTTAAAGTCTCAAAGTTTCAACGTTAGGCAACCTAAAATCAGTTTGCTGATATTTCCCTAAAAATCAGTTTGCTTTTTAAATTGTACACTTGTGAATTTTCAGGTGTCCAACAGAACTCATGCTTGCTACATACTAAATTATAGTTAACTAGTCTTCATTCATTTTTCTTTAAATGACAAAGTCAGACTAGTAAAGTTCCATGAAGCCATTTTGCTAGAGTTTCCAGGTAATAATAAGTCATACTCCCATGGACCTCAATCATAAGACTGCAAAAGACACAGAGACGACATAGGCCATTACTGTTAGGCTCAATTGCTTCCCACATTTCTCAATCCTTAAATGTACTTATCTATGACAAGAGATAACTTTGACTGTTACTTTATCTTCTCCCTCCTTTCCCCTATCCCCCCAAAAAGAGATAAGCTTGATTTAGTCTTAGGAAGGAGAAATTAAGCAAACCCCTACTTTTTTTTCTAACATTCTTACAGATATTAAAGTTACCATGTAAAAGACTTTAGAGCAAAAGTAAACATAAGTCTTTCAACCACTTGCATTCTAAATTATATGCAAAGTAAAAGAAAAAAACATATACTTATTATAACTATAGTGAAGGAATAGAATGTAACAAGGTAAAACTGAAAATCTGAAAATTTTGACTTAATTAAAAATGTTCTGTCCAGATACAAATTAAACTTACAAAGGTTTAAAGATTACTATAAACTGAAAATTCAAAAACTCTGATTGTGTTAACTAGAGATTCCTTTACTTAGGTATAATAAACTGCTTTTATTCATTAACAGTACAGATTAAACTTACAGGAGTTTAAACATTGCTATAAAGTGAAAATAGAAAACATCTGATTGAATTAACTAGATACTCCTTTTATTTAGGTATGATAAATTGTTTTCATTCAATAACATAATGAGTATACACATACAAGTCATGATCTCCACAAATCTCTTTAAATTTTGATTTATCAAGACCATAGCTGAAAATATATTTCAAAAAAATAAATAAATAAATCCAACAAGTTTAACAAGTTTCAAAACTCCTAACATAATTTTTACTTTTATATCAGCTTAATAAGACTATAAGCTGATTTACAGTTCCTGGGATTTCAAAATAATGTGCCTAAAGTACCTGAGGATGACATTTTTATAAGTTATCTAATCATACAAATTTTCCCCATTCAATAAAATCAACTTTCCTAACACCTACCGTACTGATTAAAAAATAGTTATTAGAAAGCATTTCTATGGTAAAACTTTTCTTTGAAAAAAAATTCGTAACCTCCTCTGGAAGTGTAGCACATTAATCCAATGACTCTTAAAGTGGATTCTATGCTGTACAGGTTCGAAGAACACTACTTAAAACAAAACAAAAAATCAAGAAACACTGAATATTACATCTCTCTATTGTAAATAAATGGCAATAGGAAGTACATTTGAAAATTAAATATTAGAGATCTCCTGTTTGTCCCTGAGAAATGCTGAGTTAAACAACGTCATTTGACAAATTTTGCTTCTCTTTCCAATTAAACGTATGTTTAAATAAACCATGGAAATGACCTTCTTAAGGATCATGTTTGAGAAACATAGCAATAAAGTTTTCAGCCATTCAAACTTCAGCTGAAATGTAAACTAATAATTTATTGGGTGACACTTTTTATTATTATTATTTTATTTTAGACCTTGTTTCGCCCTGTCACCAAGGTTGGAGTGCAGTGGCGCCATCTCGGCTCACTGCAATCTCTACCTCGCGGGTTTGAGTGACTCTGGTACCTCAACCTCCTAAGTAGCTGGAACTACATGTGCGCGGTGTTTTGTTTTGTTTCCTTTCGTTTCATTTTGTTTTGTTCTTTGTTTGAGACAGAGTTTCGCTCTTGTTGTCCGGTCGTGCAATGGCACAATCTGGGCTCACTGCAACCTCCGCCTCCCGGGTTCAAGCGATTCTCCGACATCAGCCCCGGAAGTAGCTGGGATTACAGCCATGTGTCACCACGCCTAGCTAATTTTTGCATTTTTAATAGAGACGGAGTTTCGCCCTGTTGACCAGACTGGTCTGAAACTCCTGACCTGGGGCGATCCGCCCGCTCTGGACTCCCAAAGTGCTGGGATTACAGGCGTGTGCCACCACGCCCAGCCTAGTAGGTCACTTTTATCTCTGATTAAGCTTCTTAAACTGGGGACCTCTGGATAGATGCTGCTCCAGACGAAACGTGACACAATTTTCTAGAAGTGACAATTATATTTGACAATTTTAAGCAATATTCTATATTAAATATAAAATTATATATTCTGGTATAATATGAAAACATCAGAGGAATTTTAAGATAACACAAAAGATAAGACTTTTTTTTACTTGTGTCCAACTTTTTTATCTTTGCATTTCTTTGACACCGAAAATCAACAATTTCGGTAAAGTATGATCAAGACATTAATGGAGGGGAACTTTGGTGGGGACAAGAAAAGTGGACAGGGAAACAATTCTTCAACAGAAATCTACCTTCAGTAGAAGAGCTGCAGCTGACTTGCAATCAACAAATGGTTACTTAGCATCTAATGTGCAAAGCAAAGGGCCCTGGGTTCCTTGAAGAGGAAGAATAAGAACAAGAAGTATACTTATGCTTTTACTTAGTTTTCTATTAACTAAAAAATGAGCTATTTCCAACCCTCTAAAAAAATATTTCTAAGGTTGTATTTCTTCCAAGTAATCCTTGACTGATTATACAGAAAATATTCTTAGACTGCGATTCAAGCGACCAAAAAATACCTACGTGCCAATTCAACTAAGCTTCGGGCCGGTCAAAATCACCTCAGGATAACTTCCTATTTTCTTTCAACCTCCATATGAAACATATCATAGCAGTTTTAACCTTCTCTGTGCTTCCTTTCAAGGGAGCTGTTCTCCCACCAGGATGTAACTCCTCTAAACTCAGCTTAGATTGCAAAGCCCTGAGGGTATAAATCTGAACTTAATCTGAACTTAATCTGTAACTCCCAAGATAACCTAAAAGAGATCCTAGAACAAAACATACTGGGTAACTATCGTAACACAATGAAGATTAAGGCTCCCCTTCAACAACGTCGGGAGTTTTGGCTAATTTACTTAGCGGGCTGCTCTGGTGCCCAGATACTCTCAAACTAAATAATAGCCTGACAAAAGATGAATGTCTGCATCTAATTTATACACTAGATTTTGCATAGCTTTCTCCTTTGCAAGGCAACTCTCACCTGCATATGTATTACTCCTTCCCCAGAAGCAACGAAACAAATGTAAAAGTAAAATCCCTTTAAAGAGGGACTCAGTAAATTGTTGTCTACGTAAAATAAACTCCCCCAGGGTATACCTTTCCCAAAGGAAGGTTCTTGTAATCTTCCCTGGAGGTTCTGAATCCGCTAAACGGATAATACCCAAAAGAGAAAAAGTCTTGTATAGCAAGTTTGAACTGTAGCGATAAAGGAGAAGCTGGACTGTGGAAGGCTGGCTGGAGCCGGTAGGCTGACGTTGGTGAGAACGCACGCAAGTTCCAAACCCGGGGCCACCTAGCACGGCGCGTCCACCGCCCCGCGGACCCCGCGCACCTGCCCTCTCCCCTGGCCGGCTCGCCGTGCCCACCTAGCTCTCCGCTGGACCAACGTCCCCTCGAGCGGGCGCTACACTTTACCTTGCGTGACGGCCAAGAGGCAGTAGTGAAGCAGAAAGCCTTGAGGCGTGTTGCAGCGCTGGAGACACTGGGGGTGCAGGTTCCTCCACCCGCAAGGCCCCTCGTCAAACTCGGACAGCGACAGTGACCGGGGCTTCTCTTCGGAGGCATTGGGAGGGGCTGAAGGCAGAGGGGGCTCCGGTGACTTCTGGGGCCCCTGGGGCTTCTGAAGCTCCTGCGGCTGCGAATTCTCTCTCCGAGGGTCGGAGGAGAAGGCGGAGACCTCGATTTGGGAGGGCGACGCGGACGAGCGGCGCAGGATGTCCGGGCTGGAGGGCACGAAAGCCAGGTTCTCAATACCTTTGGCGCTCTTCATGTCTGGATGGGTTCTCCCGACTCCGGCGCTTCGCAGCAGCTAAAAGCCGGGTCCCTCTGTGGCTCCTCCCACCGGCAGGTGACGGCACGCCCTCCGCCGCCCACGGGCCTTCCTACTCCAGCTCGTGGCCGCGTGGAGCGCAGAGCGCGGAGCCCGGGCGTCAGCGCCACAGGGTGTGGCTTTGACGCTCAGCTGTGTCTCACCTGTCGCCGCAGGGGCCGGCCGGAAGGCGCGGTGTGGGCGTGCCACCCGGCCGCTGCCCAGTGGAGGGGGCGAGAGCTCTCAGCTCACCGATGTGCACCGAAGTCCGCCTCTGCGCGAGCTCGGGCGGTTCTGACCTGAGCCTCCAGCCCCCAGCGCGCTTCCATGAAGCCCAGGCGCTGGTCACACAGAGATTGTGAGAGTCTCTTTCCAAAAGCTCCCCCTGGGTGCTGGCATGAAACCTGTAAACACAGTTGCGTCAGAAGATTGTTCAAGAAAATGGCTTGCGTTTTTCTTCCTTTGCTGCTTTCCAAACCAGGCTAAGCTTGGACTCCGAGACTCAAGACGTCGGAGGTATACTTTGGATTCAGGGCATCTTGATAAGACTTTTTGCCTGTCATCTTGTTACTGGTAGAAGGTGTCCAGGGTTTTGGCATCTTGAACAAAGGATTGGATAAAATGCACAAAGCAAGGAATGAATGAAGGGATTTATTGAAAAGGAAAGTACGCTCCACAGTGTGGGAGCGAGCGAGCATAGGAGCTCAAGGGACCATTACAGAATTTGGGGGAGTTTAACCCCTGGAAGATTCTTCCATTGTTTACTTTGGGTATGCTCTATGTAAATGGAGAGGATGAAGTTAAGTTGCAAAGTAATTTATGGCCTACACCCTATGAAGAGGATATTTCCTGTTATAGTTGAAGTGTGAAAGTTTCCTACCTTCAGACCCTATTTTCCTCCCTGGATACTCCTTAGAAAAAGAAATCCACCCCACCCCTACCCCCGTCACCACCAGGATGAACATCACAACATAACCACTGATTTGATTTTATTTCTCCGAAACCGAAGGACTAGAAATGGTCTCTCTGCTGCATATTGCATATCTCAGATACACAACAATAACAATCATGTAAATAATTTCTACCAGTCTAGGCGCAGTGGCTCACGCCTGTAATCCTAGCACTTTGGGAGGCCGTGGTGGGCGGATCACCTGAGGCCAGGAGTTCAAGATCAGCCTGGCCAACACGGAACCCTGTCTCTACTAAAAATACAAAACTTAGCCAGGTATGGTGGTGCACAGCTGTAATCCCAGCTACTCGGGAGGCTGAGGCAGGAGAATCGCTTGAACCTGGGAGGTGGAGATTGCAGTCAGCCAAGATTGTGCCGTTTCACTTTCCCCTGGATGAAAGGGCAAAACTCTCTCAATAATAATAACACATTTCTACCTGCTGAATAAATAAGAAAAACACTTTGAAGAGCTTAACACCATTGTGTCATGATAGTTACAATTTAGTTATTCATTCATTCTTTCACTTAACACAGAATATTGTGTGTGTCACTTAACACAAAAAAAATACTTGTGTGCTGGGTGCCAAACACTGTTCTAGGTTCTAGGAGTACACAAGTCAACAAAAACTGGGAAATGCCCCTACCTTTATGGTGCTTATGTTTCAACAGGAAACAGACAGTAATAATATGTAGTATATGGCACAGAATATGATAAATACTGTTTTGTGAAACTCATTTCAATTATATATGCTGTGTTTACTGAGTTGAGACACAGATATAAAATATGCATCCTACTTTGGACAGAGGTACATTCTGTCCTCTGTTTCCTCACAATCAAATAATTCTAGACTGGCCAGTTGGGCACAGAGGCACAGGCCTGTAATCTCAGCACTTCGGGATGCCAAGGCAGGTGTTTGCATCCTGGAGTTTGAGATCAGCCTGGGCAGCACAGCAAAACCTGTCTCTACCAAAAATAGAAAAATTAGCCTGGTGTGGTGGTGCACGTCTGTAGTCCCAGATAGCTGGGAGGCTGAGGTAAGAGGGTCACTTACAACTTGGGAGGCTGAGGTTGCAGTAAGCACTCCAGCCCACACCATAGAGCCAGGCCTTGTCTCAAAAAAAAAAGAAGAAGAAGAAGAAGAAGAAATAAAAATAAATTCTAGATTGGCCTAAAACGTGAATATAGAGTAGAAGTAGGAGCTAACATTTTAAATGTTTGCTATATGCCCTATTATTAAAATCTTTACAAAAACAACTGCACTGTCATGTATATTATACATATCGAGAAAACCACATCCCATAAAAGTTTAGTAACTGTCTCAAAGTCACATAGCTAATAAGTGAACTGCCATTTAAGGATATGAACTCAGCTCTTTTAGCCAGAAATCTTCCCTGAACTTTGTATTTTCTGTCTTTTAATTACTATGGTGTATCTCCATCAGGTTAAATTATTACATACCAATTTTAAGATATCAGAATTCAAAAGTCTCTGATGTTTGTGAGGTTTAGAAGATTAATGCTGCTCCGAAAACCTCAGATTTTGGAGGCATTCAAATTAAGCATGGTATGTAATCTTCCTAGGCTTTCTTTTGACAAAAATGGACTCAGAGTAGGTAACTGCTTTGATTGCCATTTTATCTATGGAATACAAAGTAATTTACACAACCAGCAAATTTTGTTTTGATGAGATGTGGTTACATACAATCGTGACTTAAGACTATCATGCAGCTATGAATTAATAAATCCGTGCTATATTATCAAAATCAGAGTGGCAAAGCATCATGCCCTTAAATTCATACGAAGGAGAACTCTCACAGTGTTAGAGGAAGAATTTTGCTGAAAGATTAGAAAATTACTATTGCTTCATCTTAAATACATCTTGCTCTTACTCAAAGTGTTACCAACACCACTTTCCTGTTCCCTTACATTCTCTATGCTGCAATGATGATAGGAAGAGGCTCAGGTTTGCAACAAAAACCAAAAGAGACAAATAGAAAAGAAAACTTGGTGGTTTTCACCTCTGGTAATTCTATGGAAAAAGGTCCATTTTAAAATTAATTATTTGGTCAATCTAGGTTAAATCTGCCTCTAATGAACACAGTCAAAATATACCACGTTAAATTTCAGAAGATAATTGATGGGTTACTCTTTGTTTAGTAGATTTTATTTACTATGTTTTTTAAAGAGTGGAGAATGGGATAAAGAGCAATGTCCAAAATTTATAGTAAAACTCCAACACTGTAAACAGAAGTAGTCCCTGCCTGTGGATATCATTCTCTGGGCTGTGCAGTAGGTCTTTCCTATCGGGAATTGGATGAACCAAGGTGAAGTGGCTTAATGACAGCCGTCATCAAGATTGCCCTGCTAACTCCCCTTGCTCTGATTTCAAGCTTAAGAGCAATCTTGTGATTTGGGCTTTCTATGTAGATATGTATACCGGATGAAAATGTATTGCTATGTCTATCTTGAGTACTTTATCATTTTCTTCCATATGTTTTTAATACTTTACTTGTTCCCTTCTGGTTTTAGACTAAATGTGAATCCTTTAGCAGTATAAGACTATGAGCTCATAGAATATTAAAATTAGAGGGATCTTGACAGTAGCTGATTACAAACATGGTCAAATGTGAATATTATTGTGGTTAATTACAAATCCTAGTATTAAAGATTTATTAATGTCACAGCATTTTATATTAACTAAATAAAAGCAACCAGACAATCTAAGTGACCATCTTAGTATTATCTTTTCAATTTTAAATGTTTTACAAAACACATAGCTAATAAATTAAATCTAAGAAAATAAATTTAACACTGAACTGTATTATTTTTAATATTGTTTTAAATTGTAATTATACATAAATATATAATCATATTGAGAAGAAATACAACTATCCTTTTTCTTTTCATCTTATTAATCATAAATCATTAAGAAATAAATATGTAGGCTGGGTGCAGTTGCTCACGCCAGTAATCCTAGCACTTTGGGAGGCCAACACAGGTGTATTGCCTGAGCTCAGGAGTTCAAGAGCAGCCTGGAAAACATGGTGAAACCCATCTCTGCTAAAATACAAAAAATTAGCTGGGTATGGTGGTGTGCGCCTGTTGTTCCAGCTACTCTGAAGGCTGAGGCAGGAGAATTGCTAGAACCCAGGAGGTGGAGGTTGCAGTGAGCTGAGATTGTGTCACCGCACTCCAGCCTGGGTGACAAAGAATATGTTTCAAAAAAAAAAAAAAAAATAGCTGGTGATAATTATTTGAAACAAAAAGATGTCCACATTTAATAAAGTAATCCTGTAAGAAAGCAAACAAAGTCAATAGTAAAAACACTAGTGTAAAAATTGCAGAAGGCCCAGAACACTCTGTGAGTTGAGGAGACAGAGCTGAATATCCAAGAAGAGTAAGACAGCTGGAATTTGCAGAGCAGAGCACCAAAAAGGAGAAAGCTGTGTGGAGGGGATGTGCAGAGTGTCCCCTCATGCATTCTGCAGATATGGATAGCACATGGTTGTCAAGAAACTAATCTAGCCCAAGGAAAGAGTCATCTGAAGGCATTAAAGGAGTAGTGGTTAGTGCTCACTCACACGGGGCCTAAGGAAGGTGGAATAAAGAAGTTTTCACACATTGAAAAAAAAAAAAAAAACACTGAAATAACCAAAAGCACCTACACCTGAGAAATGTTAAAAGGAGTCCTTCAGGCAGAATGAAAATGATACCGGGTAGAAATATTTTCCTATATGAAAGAATGAAGAGCACCAGAAATGAGGAGATGGAGCAAAAGATGCATAGATAAGTATGTCAGATTTTTTCTTATCATTTCAATCTCTTTCAAAGATAATTCACTGCTTAAAAGTAATAATATGCAGTCAAGTCAAATTCAGTGCCTGTTCCTGTCATAGTGGGGGCTGCCACAGCAAGCTCCACAGCTCATGAGCACTGGGTCGCCCACTCTGGGACCTGGGGATAAGTTTGGCTGTGGTCACTGTTGAAAAAAAGAACAATAATACATAAAAAATAACAATAATAAAGCACTGCAG